GGAAGAGACATCTGTCTTCAGGTAGACACGTCTCAGATACTCCAGCTGTTTTGGTTTGAGCTTCACTGCACAGATTCCAGTGTTTCACTCAGGAATCTGCTGTCCGTTAAAGACTCACTGCACACACACTCTGTCACACACACACTCTGTCACACACACACTCTGTCACACACACACTCTGTCACACACACACTCTGTCACACACACTCTGTCACACACACACTCTGTCACACACACACTCTGTCACACACACACTGCACACACACTCCGTCACACACACACTCTGTCACACACACACTCTGTCACACACACACACACACTCTGTCACACACACACTCCGTCACACACACACACACACTCTGTCACACACACACTCTGTCACACACACACTCTGTCACACACACTCCATCACACACACACACTCCATCACACACACACTCTGTCACACACACACACTCCATCACACACACTCTGTCACACACTCCGTCACACACACACTATCTGTCACACACACACTCCGTCACACACACACACACTCCGTCACACACACACACTCCGTCACACACACACACACTCCGTCACACACACACTCTGTCACACACTCCGTCACACACACACACTCCGTCACACACTCCGTCACACACACACTCCGTCACACACTCCGTCACACACACACACTCCGTCACACACACTCCACTTACCTCCCGCTGATGAATTATGCATGGGCACAACGAGCGCTGGGAGAGCGCAGAGGATAATCAGAAACAATATCGGCGCCATTTCTGGATCTGGAAGAAAGAAAGTTTAAGAATGAGGAAGTAGGAAAGAAAGACAAACTGGACATTTTCCATCTTTACTGTAACTCTGCTGCTCTCAGCGTCTCACTCTCTCTGTTCCCAGGGATCAATGTGGCCTCGCAATGTTTCCAGGAATATTGTTCCATATTCAAAGGTAAATTCATGAATGAGTTGATTGGCTTCTGCGACTGAATCCATGAGGAAAACTTTACATTATGACATATTAGACCAATTATTTTATGATACATTACATGCATTAAATTAGATTGATATGAAGTTTCTTCCTTCATTTTTATGTCTGTCTGTAATCTCATGAGATTATCTCTTAAACTCATGAGATTTTCAGGGATAATCTGAATAATTCAACTGCAGCCAAAACATCTAGTTGGCTTATTTATTTAGTTCAAACATATTCATAATTCAAATTCCAGGGTATATATTTAGGTAACCTTTTAATAATGAGGAAGGCAGAAACATGAACCTGCCTCTTTTCTTTATGTCTCACTTCTTACACATTATTATTTATTTAAAACAATAATAAAATAAAAAGAACATTTAAAAAAACAAAGTATGGAACCAAATAATTTCCCTCCATATTTGTGACGCAGCTGAGCTTTTACTGAAAGGTTTTCTGATGCATTTATGTTAAAAACTGTTTATTTACACCTGGAGGCCCCATAAGCCCCGCCCACCGTCATGACGTCATGACCCAATCCTTCACATTCACATCGCAGGGAATTGGAGTTTTATTCATTAAAATGAGAATCTTTCCTCTTCCTCCAGTCAGAAGGGTTCTGATCCGGTCGGTTCTGTTCTGAAACCTGCAGCTGCAGAACTTCAGCAAACCTTTCAGTCCAAACGCAATTTATTGAAACTGAGACTAAAAACTCCAGCTTTTAGTCTGGAGTTTAACAATAACTATTATTCATCTGATTTTTGAAAGCATTTTTATTTGTTGGTTTTAATTGATTTTGGTGAAAGATGAAAATATTTCCTTTAAATCAAGTTTGAATTTTTTGACCTGTGACTCATTTATGCTTGGAAAGTTTTTCTAAATGAAAAATGAGCTTTAATTCATGTAAAGAGCTCAGCAGAACATTTCATTGATGTTCTGACTTGAAACCATCTGGATTTCTTTGCTGTTAGTTTCAGGCTTTAATACTTACAATCAATATTTTTCTCAGTGTTAAATTTCTTCATTGTCGTTGGGAAACATTGAAATGCTGCTAAATGTTATGTGAACAATTTGATCTGAACTCAATGTTGGTGCATTAAGGAAACGTGTAATTTAATGAAAATAATCCTCCAGAACAATCAAACTGGCTCTGAAGTACAATTTAAATAAACGACTCTGTGTTCTGGTCGGTCCTAAATGATGGAGGATAAACTTCTGTTCATCTCCTGAGTTGAATATTTGATGCCTGAGTGGTTCATAGGTCAGAGTTCAGCTGCTTAACAAACCAAATCATGGATAGAAGCTTGTCGATAAAACCACTAACGTCTGAGGAGGTTTTTTAAAAAACGACTAAAAGATTTTGTAGAATATTTCAGCTGATCTGCTGGTTCTGATTTATTTCTTTTCTGGACTTTTGTCTCATCTTTATTCTGGTTCAATTGTTGCATGTTTGGATTATTAATCCAAACATTATTAATGGTTATGGATGCTGTTTCAAAAACCGAAATATTCCCTGAACTCTGACCCCAGGACTTCCTGATGCAGAGAGACGGAGGAAGTTCATCGTGATCCCACAGTCTTCAGTCAGAGGCTTCTTCAGATTGGTTACAAACCTGACTGCTACTGGAGGTTCTTCTTCCCCGCAGCATCAGGAGCCACAGCCGTGTTTTAAAGACACTTGAGTTAGGATCTAAAATCCATTCGGGATAATAGAAGATTTTTTAATTTGAATTAAATTGAGAAAGGCAGGGAGAGGCTGGTACTGCAAGCGGAGCAGGCCTGGTTCTGATGCCAGAACTAAACATGTCGTTTAGAGAAGCAATGGGTCCTGATCCAGAACCCTGTGGGACACCACAACTGACTGAAACCACCTGAAGTATAGAAACATTTTATGGTCTGTAATCTCAGCTTAGAACAAGATCAATAAAATCTCCAGAAACACTTGAACAGATCTGAGAAAATTCTGAGGAAGGTGGAGTAACTGGGTTTGGATCAGAACTTTTGTTCTTAATGACAGGGTGAATGGCAGTTGGTTCTTCATCTCCTTCCTAGAGAGAACCGGATGAGCCAACTGAAGGAAGTCCCGATGGAAAGCAGATCGAACCGGTTCGGCTCGGTCCATCAGGACGGCGGGGGGATCCCAGCCAGCGCCTCGGAACCAGCGCAGGCCTGACAGACGGAGCCCCACCGCCCAGCAGCGGGCTGCCGGCCCGAAGCTGCCGATCCGGTCGGTTTCAGCGCCGCGGACAGCGTCACCCCGCAGCTCCACGCAGAGACCCGCAAAATGCTGCATTTCGTGCGTGGCTGAGCGTGAGCCGCGGGTCACGGCGCGGCTCCCGGCGGTTCCTGTTCAGGGAGTCCGGGCGGCCTGCAGGGGAAGCCGAACCTCCGCCGCCTGGGCGGCCGCTCGCTGGGAAACCTGACCCAGAATGTCACCGTCTAATCTCTGGAACAACGCGAGCGTCGTTCCAGCTCGGGCCTGGCGGCTCCATCGGATATGCACGCTGCCTTCCGCAGTCACAGCCACATCCGCCCGGATCCGCTGCAGCCGCAGTGGATCTGGACCGGAAAGCCGAACCTCGGGTACTTACTGTCGGTTCGATGGCTCCCAGTCCAGGCCAGTCCTCCCAGTGAGTCGGAATAGTGGGCAGAAAGGTGCATCCTCCTCGCGCTCTGCATGGCTCTGTTATTATGGCTTTGCAGTAAATGAGCGAGCAGCTCCGCGCGTAAACAGCGCTGGTCCGGGTTATTTCCAAGTATTGCAAAGAGATGACAAGAAGGGGGGGGGGGAATCCACACACACTCACACACACACACGCTCACACACAAATACAGATACACAAACGCATCCACAGAAACGACGAGCAGCGATTCAGCACTCCCCTCCTCCTCTCTACAATCTGGAGCTCATGGCGACGTCATGATGGAGACGCACCGTGCGTAAAAGCTCCCGCACGTATTTATCTGACTGTTTCTGAAACCTGAGCAGGGGACGGACTGCGCCCAGCCCGGCAGGAAGCAGCTCCTGATGGAGCCACGAAGCGCTTCGGATGGAGGATCATTGCGCAGATTCCGCCCCGCTGCGTTGCGCTGCGCCGCCGCAGACATGGCGCCGCTGCTTTGACGCTTTAAGCCGAAAAGCTCCTCGGAGCTTAAACGACAGAAGCGTCGCTCAGGTTTCTGCTCATCCGCCCTGCGCGCCATCAGCCTCACATCAAACACCTGCGGGGGTCGCGAACAGCGCCGAGTCATTTCAGAACCTTTTCTTCAACATAAGGAAACATTTCAATTCAAATGGAGTTAAAACTCTGATGTCATCTGAATCCTGCTTCCACTTAAAGAACCCATCTCATTCTGGAAAGATATCAGTCAGGAGCAGGGGGTTTATTAACCAGCAGTAGACCGCCGGGAGCGGACTGACCCTGCGGGGCTTCCGTACAGACCTCTGCAGCCGTCACTGCTGTTTTCATTCCTGCTCAGAGCTACAGATTCTTACAATCTCATATTTTTTTTATTTTGTGCACAAATTCATATTTTATACCATTTTTTAAATTATCCTGATTAGTTGACTATTTCCAATATGCTATTTTAATTTATATTTTATAACAATGTACAATTAGAGGGACAATAAAGAATATTTCTATTCTTTAATAGAAAAATAATTTTTACAATAATTCTGTTAAAACTGAAGTTCACCAGTCAGCTCTAAACAGAACTGAGTTTGAATCTGTCAACATGATTGAATATTAAACGGATTGGACCGTCACATCTGTTATGAATCGGTTTTATATTAAACTGAATTGGTTTTAGTTCATTCTCCACATTTCTGGACAAAAACAACCAATGAAACACAGTGGTGGCAGCATTATGCTGTGGGATGACTTTTTCTAAACCAGAATTTTGCGATGTAGAATGAACATCAGGGCTGTAATGCATAGAACCCACATTGTGTATTTTTTGTGTTTGTCTGCAGTTTGAATCTTAAACTGTTCACATCGTTTCTTCAAATCCAGATTGATAAAAACACATTCAGGAGTCAAAGATGAGATTTATTGATGCATAAATCAGGAAGCAGAGTCACATTTACAGATGATCATCATCAAACACATTTAAATATTCTCCATCTGAATAATTACAAACATTTACAGGTTGTTCCACTTCAATTTTTTAGACGTTTCAGTCGTCAAATAAAAACTTTTGTCTGGAACATAAAAGTTCTGATTAGTTGGAACCAGAAGCGTTAAAGTGTCAAGGCACACATCAAGTCACAACAGGAGCTTCTTTTGTTTGTAAGGCAAACAAAAATCCATGTAAACAATATTTTAAATAACACAAATCTGACTTCACATCATTTAAATAAAAGGTTGATTCTAAAACCTGGACCGGAACCTCAGGACCGATCAAAACACGCTCCTGCAGCTGCAGACAGAACCAAGCCTTTCAGTCCAGTGCCAGGCTCTGCCGGGTCCGGGTGACCCGGTTAGCTTTCGGCCTGCCAGGACTCGGAGGACACGGCGCCTCCACAGGTCCGACCGGACCGCACTGGACCGGACCGCACTGGACCGGACCAGAATCTGGGAAAATAAAACAAACAGGGATTGTAAGGTTCTGATGGTTTCGTCATGCTAGACCATCTGAAAGGTTCTGCTGTAGTGTTCTACTGAGGCTGCCGGGTAAACCGGGTTCTACTGAGGTTCTACTGAGGCTGCAGGGTTAATCGGGTCGGTTAAAGCTCGTTCTGGTTTGTTTTCCATCCCGGTCCCGGCTCCTGATCTAGTCCCGGCTCACAGACTGAAGCTGCGGTGGTGCTGCTTGGAGAAGTTCTGCTGGCGCTCCCTGGCGCCGCTCGGTGCCACAGGGTCCCGTGTCCTGGCCCGGTCCCGCTCCGCCTCGTCTCCAGTCATGCTGCCCACGTCGCTCAGGTCGCCCAGGTGCTCCACCGAGTCGTACTTCTCCAAGTCCGAGGCGATGGTCTGCAGGCTGAAGACGGACAGCGAGTCGGACCCGGCCCGCTCCCGCTCCGCCAGGTCCAAGCCGCCATCCAGACGCTCCTTGGCGGCGGCTCCGCAGGCCTCATCGTCCTCCCGGACGCGGGCCTCGGACTCGGCGCCGACGGGCGGGCTGCGGGTGGGGCAGTCGGGCGGGTCGCGACCCCTCTGGGCGTGGATCTGTTCACTGATCTGCTCCAGGTTCCTCAGAGCGACGGAGTAACGAGTCTTCACCTTGGAGACATTGTGCTCCAGCTGTAGGACCTTCGTCTTATGATCCTGACCACACACACACACACACACACACACACACACACACACACACACCACACACACACACACACACACACACACAGAGAAACACACACACAAACATACACACACACACCCACGCACACACACACACACCCACACACAGTTCAAACAGTTTTAATGGATCAGCTCCAGTGTGAACCCGTCACCAGGCGCTGATGACCGGTGTGTGTTCTCGGTCTCAGAACACACTCCGGCCCGCTGTACCTCCAGGATGTGGTTGAGTTGGGACTTGAGCTCGAAGTAGGGCTTGGACTTGACGATGACCCGCTTCAGGGACTTCTGCAGGGTCTGGACCCGGGCCTCGGCCTCCTGGCAGGCGTGTGTGACGCGCATGTGTTCCCGCTCGCTGCGGATCCGTTCCTCCTCGGCTTCGTTCACCTGCAGGACAAACGGAGAACAACCGAACGAGTTCTGCTGAAGTTAAAGATGAAATAAAAGTCCAAATCAACCTTTTATTGCAAATAAAATGTATAAATTTCTTATTAAGGGATCTATTTTGTGATTCTGTGCAAATTGTGATATTTTCATATAAATACTGCAATTTTTGGCCTACAACTGTCTCAGTGCTGCCCTCTTTGGGTTGAACGGTGGTATTGCCGTCCAGCCCTGGTCCCAGGAACGCCCCCTGGTGGAGAGGCAGGAGTAAGACCAGCGCTATGCTGGACCTTCCTGACCACAGGCAGAACCCGCTGCTCACTCAGCTGCAGGGATTGATGCCTCACGTCAGAGAAGTCACTCGATTTGTTGCTTAAAAAAGTCCAAGTGTCTGAAATCTTGCTCAATGTATCGACAGTCACTGAGATTGCTTCGTCCCTCATGACGTTCCCCATTCGTCTCTACACTTAGCCACGCCCCTGCAACTTGTGGCTCCGCCCACTATGGTGGGATTTTTCTACATTTGTCTGGGGGCGGGGCTATCCCGTCACACTGGTCTAATAAATCCAGAACTGAATTTTGCCTCCGTGTTTCAGTCATTTATATCTAATTTATGAAACAGATTCTGCTCAGTATTTACACTCAAATATTTAAAGCAATTATTTCTGTTATTGAATCGTTTTAATGGAAAACAAGATTCAGTCTCAATCAGATCAACAAAAAATGTCATTTTGAACAGAATGTGAGGATCATCAAAGCGGCACAGCGTGGAGGTTCTGGTTCTGCTTCTCTCCACTCTTCCTCCAGACTCTGGGATCAACGGAGCGGTTCTGGTCCTGGTCACCCCAGGTGAGATGCTGTCGACATGTTTCCACCAGGTTCTGGTTCTGACCGTCCAGCAGACGCTCGGACGGTCTGATCCGACGACCCGGGAAGCTGCAGCCGTTTTTCGCATCGCTCCGGGTTTGATGTTCTGAGACCGGCAGGGCGCTGGCTGCGTGTGTGTGTGTGTGTTGGTGTGTGTGTGTTTACCTTGGAGGTGGCGTGGTTGAGCATCTCCTGCCAGGTGGGGTCCAGCGTGTTCTTGCCGTCAGCCATCAGGCCCTGCTCCGCCACGTAAACCATCTCCCTGGCAGCCGTGTGCATGGAAACGGCGCGCTCATAACTCAGCGCCGCCTTCTGCGTCTCCTGCTGCGCCTGAGGGAAGCAGGAAGTTCAACCAACGCTCCCTCACCGACCTTTGAGATGTCTATGCTAGGTGTTGCTATGACGTTATACTGTGGAGCCTTACCATGAACACAAACAGAAACACTTCATACTGTTTAAGTTGTTTTTTTTAAAGGCAGAAAAAGCATACTACTGCTGAAATAATCTTCACCCTGATAAATGATATTCTGCATATTTTACATGAAAATTCACCTGCATTATTTATTAACTTTACATGTTTGGCCAAAAGTCTGAAGAGCCAGAGGAGATTCTGCCGAGCAGCAGGTTGATCTGCTGAGCTCAATCAGAGGCGAAACGATCAATCAGCAGATCCCATCAATCTTCTCAGAGGTCTGAAAATAATCCACTCTTCTGAGAGACGGATCAAAAAATGTAAGAAATGACAAACTAGAGGATTGTTTTAGTTTATTCAGTAGTTTTCCTTTATGTTCCATAGCAACACAAGTTTGTTTCACTGGTTTTATTCAAGGTTTATCAATACAATAAGATTGGAACATTGAAGGTGGATCGTGACCTTTTATCACCTGACTCAGTAAAACATTTTAAAATTAAAACCAACAGGTAAGGAGTGGATACTCTCATGTCAAATAATTACAATAAAAGACAATTTCTCTTCACCAGAGTCGTGGATGAATCCATTTGTACCAGAACAGATCAAACACCAAACTGGAACGTCTCCAGAACCTCTGACATCTTCAAGACCTCAACATAGTTTTCAGATCGTAAATTAATGCATTTTGAATTATTTTTAAATTTACGACAAATTAATTCCTCCAACATTCTAGCCTATGATGCTCCTGCTCCTTCAGACTGATGTATGTATTTTCAAACATCATTTCAATATGAACGGTTGGACTCTGCAGACAGCAGTAAAAGGTCTGGAGATCCCAGCAGGCCGGCTGGCCTGATTCTGGGAGACAGCAGCACTTTGCTAACACCGCCCCCCCTCCCCCCATACTCCCCGCATACTCCCCCCCCCCGCACCACACACACACACACACTCTCTCTCACACACACACACACTCTCTCTCTCACACACACACACACACACACACAGTTTGAGACAAGGTGTATTGATCCGTACCTCCTTAGCGAGGCGGCGGGCTTCGTAGTACGGCCTGGCTTTCTCGATGCAGCCGCCGAGCTGAGAGCTCTGGGCGTTCAGCTTCCTGGCAGACTCAGTGAGGATCTTTCTGTACGCTGACCTGGCATCCTTCAGGGTTCATACAGGAAAATAATGGATCACATCAGATTCATCTGCCTTGGAAGCGCAGATCAGGTTTCACACAGAAGGACCAGCCAGATATGAACATTTACAGATTTTATTCTTTAAATTTGGAACTATAAACACACATTTATCAGACTAACTTTAATAGATAAACATTTGATAATTGTATTTAAACTATAAAGCGTTAAACCTATAATTAATAAAAGAGTGCCATCTGAAGCTGAATCTTCTGATGACTGATCTTCTCCACTTACATCCAGCTCCAGCTCCAGTTTGTTGATTTCTGCGCTGGCTTCGTTTAGATGCTCCAGCTCCTCCTGTGAAAAAGCAAACAAAAAATCATCAACTGCAAGAGCAAACCAACATGTTTACCTCTGGGATTAACAATGACGGCTAATCTGAAACTGAAAGCTGGAGGAGCTCTGCAACAAAGATGATTACTTCTGACAGACAGTGGGATTATCACAGATTATTATGATTTATAATGAAGAACAAAGCACTCTTAAATAATTAATCAGCTACGTCTGAATCGCCCCTCATCTAAAGTAATCCAGTGATCATGTATCTGCCATACTTAATACGGTAAAGAGCTGCCAACAGCAACAACAGAGGCCGGTGGTCTCACCTGAATCCGGGGGTCCAGCTCCTCCTCATAGGGGCTGTGCAGCTGCTCTCCGCCGCCTCTGTCACTGTCGCCTTCGTCACAGGCGTCTCTGATCGCATTTTCTACTTTTGTCCCGCTCAGTTTGGTAGCATTCGAGTCCAAATCCTCCCCCTCACCGCCGGGAATAACCTCCCTCCAGCCCCCCGCATCCGACTCCCCGGAGCCGGCGGGGCTTTCTCGCAAGTCGCCTGGTTCCATCCCAGGCCCGAGATAGACGGGCGACTTTAGCTTGATTTATCCCGGCGAGAAGCACCTTCCGCCCAGCAGCGACCGAGGAAGAAGCGGTAGGAGATCAGAAAATAATCCAAGAGAGAGAGGAGTTTGAAGCCATTTTTATTCTGCACAGAAACCCGAACCCGCAATTAGCCTAGCCTAGCATACTCTGTACAGATAGCCGCTCCAATTAGCCTAGCCTAGCATACTCTGTACAGATAGCCGCTCCAATTAGCCTAGCATAGCCTAGCCTGTATAGAAACCAGTAGCATAAATTAGCCTAGCCTGTCAAATGCTAATTCCGCCGCTAACAGTTTTCTGCGAACACATGAGAACCAACAGCTGCTGTTCGGTATAAACCATGTGGATGTTTAATCGATAAAACAAACTTTTTTACCGCCACTTTCCTCCATCGCTAAACTCGAGCTAGACCAGCTAGCCGCCCCGTTCCCACACCATCATCACAGATGAAGTGAAACGTTCAGAGCTGACTGCGCTTGACCCACGACAGCCACCGTAGACACAACTGCGGCAGTTTCTCTTCAACATCCAATGGCAGTAAATGTTTTAAAACTCACGATCCACATTAATAGTATCTTCAATTTTTATTATTTCAATATAAATATACTTTGGTTGATTGTTTAATCGTGTGTAAGTTGGTTATATCCCCCTTTCAACCAAATCACAGCATCATTATCCAAACTTATTTTATGATCTTTGTTGGGTTTTCTTTGGAGGTCTGAAGTTCCAGTTCCATTTTTAATTAGTAAAATGTAAAAGAATAAAACGTTATATTTGAGACTTCAAAACATAGAGATTTTTATAGTCTCTGTTTGCAAAGAAATGCAAGATTAAAAATGATCCACAGTTTGCATAGATATGAGCTCTAACATGAGACGATTCATAGATTATAACTGAGAAAAACCCAGTTATGATTATGATGCATTATGACCAAAAACTCTGCATTAATTTTGTTTTTATTAAAAAAACATACAAATCCCCACAGTGATTCCAAGGCAACAAATATTTCAAACAAAATCATCTGACAAAATGTGAGCAGAAAGAGCAGAATTTAGTTTCATCACCGTCATCAGCAGACACAATCACAGATTAGATGAACCAGGATTAACTCAGACTAACGCCAATAATTTAAAGATAATAAGGCAAACTAGGCTGATGCATTAAGTGCATGGCTGCAATGTGCACAATCAGAATCATAGAAAAATAGAGCTCTGGTGGTTTACAGCAGATCTGTTGTGAGCTGCGGGGAAACCTGAGTAGTGTTGGCTGAACCTCCAAAACATCCAGCATCTGTAAAGGCAAACAGCAGAAATCCTGTTTCTCTTTGGTGTGGAATGTGTCAGATGCTGTGCGGATCCTCAGCTCCAGGTGGGATCGTACTGACTCCACCCAGGAGGCGGGGCCAGGTAGATCCTCCGCCCCCTGTAGAAGAAGCTGACCACGCCTCGGTATCCGGCCCGTGGCACGCCGGACTTCAAGTCGTCCATGATGCCCAGGTTCTTGGCCATGACCTTGAAGCTGTCCTTGCTGGAGTACTGGAGCCGGAATGGTCCGGGCCCGCTCAGCCGGCCCTGCTTCACGTCTTCGTACGTCACCACGGCGGCGCTGTACACCTGCTTGGTGAAGCTGGTCCGGTACGTGTCCTCCTGCAGGTACGCCAGGTCCAGCTTGGTGAAAGGCACAAACTCAGAGTTCAGTTTGATGAACTTCAGGTATTTGTCGTAGAACTGGCCCAGGCTGACGCCCTGCCGGCCAAAGGTCAGCGTGCGGGAGATCTCGGGCCGGACGCAGGCGCGGCCCCGCCGCTGCTCCGGCTGCCGCATCCAGTCGTCCCAGAAGGAGGAGGGCCACTTGGGCTCCAGCTCCTCCCAGGCCTCCCGGAGCAGCATCCAGCCCAGGCCCGGGAAGAAGTCGGTGCGGTAGAGGAGCGCCGGCTGGCCGGGGTCCACCATCCCGTCCCTGCCGTTGTCGTTCCAGGCCGACACGCACCACAGGCTGGGGTCCGACTGCAGCACTGGGTGCAGGGCCCGGAAATACTCAAAGAAGTCTGGCGCCACCTGCAGGAGAGGACGATGGTTAATTGTTTTGAGGAGAGATGAAAACGTGAAGGATTTGGAGGGAACAGCTGAGCAAGTTATCATTAATGATCAGTATCATTAATCAAAAGTCGAGCTTATTGATCCACTAAGGATTAATTAAAAACATGAGTTTTCTCTTGTATGAAGAGGGCCGACCATCTTTCCATAACACAAACGTTTTTCATAATATGCTGAATTATTATATGGATTGTGTTTGATAATATCCTCAGTTTCCTGCTGCAGATTGGAATGTTTTCTGAACAAGTGAGAATTTAATCTCAATCAATTTACTTGCATGAATACAAGTTCAACATATGAAAAGGCGTCATCTATTTAAACTGGTAAACAGAAAATTCTCACATTAAGAAATGTATTTATAAATGTAACAAACCTTTTAGGAAACAGAAAAAGAAAATACTTCATTTCCCTCTAACAGAGATGTTCATACAGAAGTATTATCTGGGCTTTCTCTTGAAAAAATATTAAAACTTCACTCCATGAAGCACATTAACTCATGACAGCCCCCTGCTGGATGGCAGTCAAATTACAACACTGAAAAAAAATGTAAGCCAGTGATTTTAAACTGTGTCCCTGGAGTCCAGAGTCCTGCAGCCTTTAGCTGTGTCCCTGGAGTCCAGAGTCCTGCAGCCTTTAGCCGTGTCTCCGGCCTTCATGCTTGAACTGCCTCACCAGGATGCAGTTCTGCGATGAGCCGACACTGGAGCCAGGTGTGCTAATGCAGAGACGCATCTAAAAGTTGCAGGACTCTGGCGGATGCCATTAGTTCATCAACTAGAAGTAATTTTAATCTAATAAACCGACAATCATAAGTTGGTTAATCGTTTGCGTCCGTATCGGAACGCCGGTACCTCCAGGTCGTCCTCCACGATCACCACGGAGGAGTGGGAAAGGGTCCGGAAGACCTGGTTCAGAGCCCAGCGGTAGTGTCTGGAGATCTTGTAGTAACCCTGGAACTTCTTGTGCTCGGGCCGGACGGGAATGTCAGAGAGGTCCGGCTGCTTCAGGTGAGTGACTTTATCCCCGTAGGAGGCGATGACGTCGGCGGTGGCGGCGTGCCCGCAGTCCTGGCTCACTATGATGGGATAGAGCTCGGCGGAGGGCCGCAGCTCCAGCAGCTTGTCCAGGCAGCGCCTCACTGTGACCCGGTTACAGGCGATCACCAGGATGGGAATGACTGGCGGACTGGGAACGTCGACCTTTGCCCCCTTTCTGTTGGCCGGCTTCCACAGCGACCGGTGGCTCAGGATCTGGGACAGGATCTCCTTCTGCTTTGCCAGCTCCGATTCGAAGGAGTCTGCGACGCGGATCACGTCTCCCACCAAGTCATCGGTGGGCACGGAGGCCGGATCCTGCTGCCCGGCACCCGGCTGGCCCGGGGGCGCTCTGCCCCACAGCAGCAGCACCAGCACGGCGTTCCAGGTTACAAACAGAAACGTCCCGCATAGAATGAGAGAGCTTCTTTTCCGGAACATAGCTGTGGGATCTGGGAAGAGCTCGGCTCCGAGTAGGCAGTGTCCTGGTTGCAGACAAAAGGAACGGGATCTGGGAGGTCCGTCTTCGTCCGTTTCATCACAGAGTCATATTCCCAGATGTGTCTGGCTCAGGGTGCAGCTGCCGGCGCCAGGGGGAAAAAATCCAGCATGTTTTCAGGATTACAGCCCAACCATCCTGGAGTAATTATCCCTGACTTTTCGGTTCCCGTTTCACCTGAAACAACAAGAGCAGAAACATGGAAACCAGAGGCAAACCGAGCAGGAAGGCATGAAAACGCAGCGCATCGCAGGAACTGTCTGGACAGCTGCATTGATTTTCCCTTATCACCTGGAAGCAAACACACACACGCACTCACACACACACTCACCTGCAGGTCCTGAAACTCTCTAACTCAGCGCTTCCCAAATATTTCAGGCTCTAACCCAGATAACAGCGCAACCCAGATTATGGGTTCAGAGACGACATGAACAGCCGCCGAGTTATTTACTTTAAAAGATTATTTTCTCTAAAAAAACCAAAAATATATATTTATTTTTATCACTAAAAGTTTAAGTTAGAAGAACCTGAAAAGGTTGTGACTCAAAAATGAGTCACAACTCAACCTTTGATGACAACCGTCCAGGTCAAAGGTCAGTCGTTCCAGCAGGTTGTTTGGGTTTTTTTTTAGCTCAAAAACAAAGATATTCTGCCTGAAAAAATACAAATAAAAACTTTGAGCTTTTGGTTTTCAAAGTAAAGTTTAGAACCGAAGCCTGACATTAAGAAATAAATTAACCCTGGAAACTTTGACTAGGCCGCTCCTTGTTTTGTAGTTTCTACACTCCAGAAACAATGTGCTGCTATTTGCTCAGCATTAAAGTTGATAATTAATGAGATTATGGGTGCGTTTACTTTTATCACAGAGCAAAACCTGCAACAATAAACAAAACAGCTGCTCTTAAAGGGCAACGCAACGAACAATTAATCAACAAAACATCCGAGACTCACTGGGTTAAAAAAAAAATCACCTCACCAGGGTTGAAGCTTGAACATGTTAAATGTGATACATGATGCAGCTCCACAGACACTAAACCCACCAGCCTGCCGTGGATCCCCACCAGTAGCTTCCCCCTGTTGAAGCTCCACAGGTACTGAGACCCACTGCGTCCACCCACCAGCCCGCCCGCCCGCCCGCCCTGGATCCCCAGCTGAAGCTCAGCTCTCACCCAGCCGGAGCCTCCGCCTCCTGCCGGCTCACCCCCCGCTGACAGCCCGGCTCAGGTGAACCTCGTGGCGGCGGGACACGGCGCGGACCTCCCTCCTGTCGGATTTCCTCCCGCTGGAGCAACTTACAGCCGCCGAGTTAGCGTGTTTTTTCCCACCGAGCAGAACTGTGACGCTGAAGGAAAGTAACACGACGACTTCCCTCTTTGAGCGCTCGGGCGGAAGTCCCGCCCTAACCGTCACCTTGAGGAGTTATGCAACAGTTTGAGGAAGGAAGGCATGAAAGTAATGAAAAGCAGCTGGTGGAGACATGAACACCAGCTTCAGACTCAGGAGTTACTTCAACGAGCCTCGTTTTTCTGTTTCTGCGCAACAAAATCCAGTTTTTCTCTCCTGAAGAAACATGAACATGTTTTTATCTGTGCAGCAGAACCGCAGCTTCCTGTTCGGGTCCGGTTCTGTTTCCACCTTTAGAAATGATCTGGATACAGAAGAACTGCTTTCATTAGGACATCAGAGTATGAAACAATAAAACACCCAGAAATTCACAAACTTAAAGGACCCAAACAGCAATCCCTCCATTCAGACATCCATTATCTACGGAGTGCCAAATGTGCCATTACTTATGTGTCATGATTCAAATTTAACTGGAAGTAAATGCATTTAATTATTTACATGTTGCAATATTTTAACAAATACACAACTCTACATATGTAACTGGTTCACTATTTAGTTTTATATTTTTAATTCATACATTTGTATTTGATGACTTATTCAATCGTGGCTCCAAGTATCATTTTGAATGATTACAAAAAGGTAAAAAATTATGAATATTTTCTTCAAATATTTTCAACAAACTGCAGAAATTTGGAGGCTGAAACGTCTGAATGCAAATAATTATCCTGAAGTTTTGAAGATTTTGTTTTTCCTGGTTAAAAACCATCAATAATAATCCGTCTGCCCATCTAACCATACATTCCTCCGTTTTTCATAAATCTGTAAATCAGTCTGTCCTTTATTGTTTGTTTCTTTGTTTGACCAAGACTGAGTCACAGAGTCAGTCTTATGGGCAGACAGACGGATGATTTTAGATCGACGGCCATCAGGCGGTTTCTCAGGCAGCAGGTCACTGTAAAGCACGGCAGCTGAGGAGTCATGCTGCGGGGAAGCGTCTCATCAGGGATGTACCAATATTATAATCTGTGCTGATGTCAGTATCCATTATTAATACTGCTGAAGGAGCTGATAACCAATATTTACCACTGAAATTATTCTCAACATTAAAGTTTTTATTGTGTAGCTGCAGAGTCAATCCGTCTGTAATTCGTCCGTCTCCCGAAAACAAACCAGGATTCAGTGGGATATGTAGAAACTTTCCTCCATTCCTGCTGTTAAATGGAAAAACATTTCAAAATGTTGGTTTCAGTCATTTTTCACTTTGACTTTAACAAGTTAGAGATGCTTAAGCAAAATAAAAACACAAAGTTTTGTGCAATAAACTGACATCTTTCTGTGATTTTCATGTAAAATCTAAAGATGTAAAACTGACATTTTTATCCAGAAGAAGAGAACTTCCTCTTGGTTTGGTTCAGTTTCTGAAGAATTGCATAAAGATGGTTTTGGTCTCATCTGCAGATCCTGGTTGCCAGTGTGACTTGCGGTTCTCCGTGTTTTGCTGAGCATGGAGGATTTTGCAATGCAAAAAACTTCCACTGAAAAACCCAGCAGAGTACAAAACTGCAGCTGTTGCCGTTTTATTTTACACTCAACTGGATGTGAAACTCAAGCTTTGGTTTCCTGAAAGGCTGATTACATTTCAAACTCGTTCTGTTTCGGGTGAATGTAAATGTAGACCAACCAGTTTTTCAAGCACTGTAAAAAACGGGATAATTTATCTGCAGAACATTTTGAGATTTCCTGAAATAAGAATCAGAATCAGGTCATTTTTGAAACTCTTTTCCATTCATCCAGTGAATATCTGGTCCAGGTTGGCGGCTGAACTTTGCTTTTTCCCAGAAACATTCACAGGAAGCCATGTTCATGTGTTCATGTGGATCACTGCAGGTTGGGAACAGGTGGAAACATCTGGACCTCCTGGTTCCTATAGAGTCCCAATCTGGATAATCTGTAGTGTTTTCCCATTTGGTTCCTGAGCTTGGCCTTTGACCTTACTGGGTGTGGGCATGCAGAACTGGCTCTTTGTTGACTCTGCAGTAGAGTACATAAACTGACCTCTGACCCTGACCAGAATAAGAAGCAGGTAGGAAAGAGATGAATGAATGCATTCATGTTTTCATATTTCTTGTCTGAAAACTTGAAACAATGCAACAGATTTTGTTTTCAGAAGCTGAAACCCCATTTTAATACTCGCCAAAGGAAATGACATGAAGCCGTTTCATGTGTGGTATTTATCTTTATGTGCTGAACAGATTTTTGTGCAGTGCGAAGGAAAAAACAAGCACACTGCTTGAATGTCATCAGATCGTGTTTTCCGCTGGTTTGCTGTTTCCTGACTGCGTTCAGCGGGAGCTGAAGCGACGCGTGTCCTGACGGCGCCAGCAGGCTGAAGTCCAAACCTGTGAGTGAAGGTAAGCAGATCGATGCTGGGCTGGAGTCTGGCTGCTTGGCCCTCAGTCAGGGGGGTCATGGGTCACCTGCCGGCCAGAACTGCACGTGTGTTCCTGAAAGAGGACAAACAGAACGATCTCACACACACTGCGCTGCAGAAATGATTATTTAGAAAAGCTCACCTGTGTTGGGTCGGTGCCGCCGCTCTTCATCTGTGGTTTTGAGAAAATGAACCAGGTGAGGGAAGAACCCGGGTTTTGCACCTTCAACCCAGAGCTGATGGAGACGGAGCTTCAGGACTCCGGCTGGAAGCTGAATGAAGCCCTGCAGACATATCCTCTCTGGCGCTTCAGGGACAATGATGTGAATTATTTTGGAGAAGACGTCTTCTCTCTGCTGCAGTGGCGCCTTTTGGCCGCTGGGGGCGCCACAAGCCGGGGATTGTGAAAGTTTGGAAGATAATTTATGATTTTTCCTAAAAACTTCTTCTGCCGGAGCTTCACTGTCCCCCTTGCAGCAGACAGAGAGCCCTGCGGCCGACACCAGGCGGAGGATCCTCCGCTCGGACCCGCGGGAGGATCCGCCGCGCTCCGCCGGGGAGTCGCGCAGCGGCCCGCCGGCCAGTCCGACTGTACGCCGCCGAGGCAGGCCGCTTGGTCGGCGGGTTCCGGGTCCAGATGTTCCCCCTGCAGCGGAGCACGGCGGACAGGGCCGAGGCGGACGGGGTGGAAGCCATGGCGGGAAGGAGTCGGTTCGTCCTGGAGGTCCGCAGCCGAGCAGAGAGTCACATAATGAGGCTGAAGGAGGGGAGCAGCGCAGGGCCGGGGATCCAGACCAGGTTCCAGACTCACAGGGGTGTGTCTTCAAGGAGAAGCTGTCATGAGACTCAGCACCAAACAAAACTGGGTCAAAGGTCTTAATTTAGCTTCCAGAGCAGAGAAACACACCAGCAGCAAGTTTCCTAAAGTCTACAGGAAAATATTCACACTTAAATATCAGCCACAAACTCAAATGTGTTTTATTTTGATTCCTTTGTTTTAGATTTAAATCAAAGAAAAATGGATGTTGATTGTGGAGATGCTGCAAAGCACAAAAATCCAAAAATTATATGAAAAAACATTTAAACAAACATTACTGGCACTTTGACATATTTCTGTTGTGGAAATTTAATGGACTTATTTTATAAAACCTGTTGAAACCTGCAGTTGTGTTTTAGTTGACGATTATTTTAGCCAGGATCCAGAGCCCTGGTTTAACCCAAACTACTAAATGAACTAAAATAATAAAATTAAAATAAAATATTCCTTCCTTTAGGTTTTTATTTTTCAAATCAAATTGTTTTCCATCCTCCCCCTGCAGAGCTAAAGTGATTTTCAGAGCTACACTCCCAATCTGCAACAGAACAGCAGCAAAAGAAGAGAATCCAGATGTTCCAATGGTCTAGTCAAAGTCCAGGCCTGAAGGGAGCAGAAATTAAAAGCATTTCTGTTTATTTCTGGTGTTGTTCCTGTAATGGTCGCCTGGATGTTTCCTGACATTCCCGCATTCAGTCTGTTGCCCCGGGTTACGGACCTGGCATCAAGCAGCGGGTCGGCATGCGGCGGAACCGGCTGGTCCACCTGGACCCGACCTGGACCTGAACTGGGCCTGAACTGGGCCTGAACTGGGCCCGCTCTCAGCTGAAGTGCTTTCAGCACAGGAGGGTGTCAGGTGTCACGGTTCTGGGAAATCAGACATAAAATAACTCAAATTCTCCAGGAAATGTTTGAATAAAACAGTTTTATTGACTCTGATACCTGTGAATATCTGCTCATCGTTTCTGTTTAGAGTTCAGGGTATAAATAAGGAGTTTCAGAAGGTTTAGTGCTTTTCGTGGTCTGGAGACGATTCTCCCCCCGACTGGTTCACAGTCAGATTCTGTCAGTCGGAAGTCAAAAACAAACCAGTAATTATCCAGGAAACGGTTTACAGTTACAGTTTTACATTCATTCATTTGTAAATGTCACAGGTTCAAAGCAGATATTTAACCAGCTAATTATTTAGGTTACTGATTAAATATTTAGCTTGGGGAAACATTTTTAATTTGAAGGTAAATATTTAATTTGGCAAATAAACAATGAGCATAGAAATATGATGAATCGATGACTGAAATATTCATTTTCATTTTTTCTCTTATGATGGTTAAATAATAAATTATTGCTGTTCATTTTCACTGAATCATCACCGATGGAACCCCGTATCCTTCACAGTCAGCCTGGAGAAACGCCGCCATCTTGTTCTTCCTCATTCCTTCACCGCTTCATACCTGGAGTGAAAACTCAGCGCGATCCTTCCTGACCCCTCTGGGGTCAAAGTTCTTCATGCTCAGCTGGGAAAAACACCTCCATCTTGTTCTTCCTCAATGCTCCTTCCTTCACCGTTTCACACCCGGAGTAAAACCTCAGCGCCCCTCAGGCCCCACCCCTCAGGCCCTGCCGCTCAGGCCCCGCCCCCTCAGGGTGAGTTCGGTCCAAAGTTCTCGCTGCTCTCCTGTGAGGAGGAGCCGGTAAAGTTCCCGCCGGGTCTGCCGGGTCCAGTGTTAATTGTCACTCTGGGGACGATGATGAAGGCCAGGATGCCCACCATCATCAGCGCCACGGTGATGGTGATGATGGACGCCACCACGGCGTAGTAGCAGCGGTCGGAGTGGAACAGGAGCCGCATGCGTCCCCTCATCCTGCTCGGCGGTCTGCCCACGTCCACCATGGTGGGCGGGGCGCCGCCCTCCTCGGCGGCGGCCAGTTCGCCGCCCTGGACGGCCGCCGGCGGGACCTGGTGCTTCTTGACGGGCAGGCTGATGGCGGCGGACTTGGCGGCGGGGGGCGGGTGCTTCAGCAGCAGCCGGCCTTTGCTGCGCTGGAAGCGGATGGACAGCGCGTGGCGCATTTCGGCCGGCAGGCGGCCGATGACGTCCTGGTTGTTGCCCAGGCGGGGCAGGTCGCGGCCGCGGGGCAGCTCGGTCAGGACGCGGCACACGGGGCACGACAGCGTCTTGATCTCCGGCGACGTGACGTTGATGCGCGCCAGGCACTCCAGGCAGAAGGTGTGACCGCAGGCCAGCAGCTTGGGCGTCTTGAAGACGTTGTCGTAGGAACTGAAGCACACGGCGCACTCCGTGTCCCCCAGAAGGTCCATGGGGGGCGTGTCCCGCCGCTCCGCGTCCTTCCCGTCCCGCCGGTGCCGGGTCTCCTCGCTGCGGCCCCGCCGGTGCCGGTCACTGTGGTGACGCTCCCGCCTCCTCCCTCGCTCTGAGTCGCTGCTGCGGGAGCGGCGCGCCTTCTGGGGCCGGTCCTTCTGGGTCGGAGCCGGCTGGCCCGGTTTAGGCTTGACGTTCTGGGGCATCCTGGACCCCCGATGCCCCTCGCCCTGTCCGCTCATGATGGCTGTCCTTCACTGAAGAGCTGTGGAGGACAGAACGCTGCGTTAGGGAACGCTGATGCAGCAGCGTTAGGGAACGCTGATGCAGCAGCGTTAGGGAATGCTGCTGCGTTAGGGAACGCTGATGCTGCAGCGTTAGGGAACGCTGATGGTGCTGGGTTAGGGAACGCTGATGCTGCAGCGTTAGGGAACACTGATGCTGCAGCATTAGGGAATGCTGATGCTGCAGCATTAGGGAATGCTGATGCTGCAGCGTTAGGGAACGCTGATGGTGCTGCGTTAGGGAACGCTGATGCTGCAGCGTTAGGGAATGCTGATGCTGCAGCATTAGGGAAAGCTGGTGCAGCAGCGTTAGGGAATGCTGCAGCAGCAGTGTTAGATAATGCTGCAGCAGCAGCAGCGTTAGGTAATGCTGCAGCAGCGTTAGGGAATGCTGCAGCAGCAGCGTTAGGGAATGCTGCAGCAGCGCTGGCTCATGCTGACTAATGAAGGCCTTTTGTTGCTAAATGTTTTCCTTTCACTAAATTTCCTCAGGAACCTGTTGGTTGAGTTAAAGGACGTCACACCAGCAGATCAAAATTTGTTTCCAACATGAAAACAGGAAGTTAAATAACTCAAAATATTACCAAGTATTTCTGTCTGGTTCCTGCAGCACATGAAATGAGACAGAACTAATTAAAACGTTTTATTTGTTAATAATTTCTGAATATTCACAATATAATCCTGTTTCTACTGGTGGATCAGTTCCTGTTATGGATAAAATGTCTCGTTACCAGTTAAACGTCGTTTCATCCACTGGATGTAAGCGGCTCACATCGTTTGTACAGGCAATGAAATCCTTGAAAATGCTTGAATTTCATTCAGATTTCTGTATCAAGTCCTTCATGTTCAAACTGCACCGCTTTGTAATAAAGTTAAATGTTTGGTTAATGTTTACAGTTTATTTAAAAATAATAAAAATTTGTGTCTGAACTTAAATCAGACTAAATTTTTCTTGTGTTAGTTTAGTTAGAATCATAAAACCTGAGCAGGTTTTCTGACAGTCAGGTGTGTTTCAGTTGCTCTATTTCTATCTTATTAACAAAAGCAATAAAAACATCACAGCTGTGGGTGAAACTGCTTTATTTCATTTGGATTATTTTATATCCAAAGAGGAAAGTTTAAAACTGACCTTGAAATGTTTGATCCGTGTTTTATGAATATTGAGGAATTACTGATTTAAGCTCATATGTGTGACGCGTCGGTTGGTTTTAATTTTGCAGCAGAAATTCGGCAGAACTCCTCGGCAGTGTTGCTGTGTGGTGTGCAGGTTGCTTAATTCTGACCTGATAAGTCGGAAAAGGTCCGATCCGTTTTTTTCCGCGCCGCTCCAGACGCTCAGGTAATCCTGCTGCGACAACTGGGATCAAAAATCTTCATCATTGAGTAAAGAAAGCTCAGCGGTTCTGACCCGGTCTGACAAACCTGGGCTCTTATCGTCTTCTTCACACCCTCCTCTCTCTCTGCCTGTCGCTCGCCCGTCCGCCCTCGCCGTGTTCTGGTCAGACCGGTCCGACCAGCTGCAGCTCAACCAGGACGTTCAGCCAGAAAACACTCGGTTCTCCTTCCTGCAGAATAAAACCTGATGAGACGCACCTGATCCGACACGATCCGAGGCGCCGGAGCTGGAGGAAAGTTCCAGCGCAGCTGCAGCGCATGCTTGTCATACCTCAGAACCGGAGCAGAACCACCTCAGAGCGTCCACATGACCAACACACACTCAGAGCTGTTGTCAAACATCACTTTCTTTAATTCTGCACAGTGTTTTGGGTCAGGTGTTGACACAGAACCCAGAGCAGGGCGTGTTTGACCAGAACCTTTAACCTGCTTACGTCTGAAAACATCAGAGGACAACAGATCGCCATAAACTTTATCAGCTCAGATAAACCGTAACCCACTTCTGTACAACCCAGTTCTGTGTGGACTCAGGTCCGTTAATGAGTCTGAGGGCGTTCAGGTGCAGCAGGAAAAAGCACCGACTTTCAGTCTGGTTTATCATTAAACCCGTCCATCAGTGTGGCCCGGTTCTTCCTCCACGACAGGCTCAGCAGCTTTACGGCTCAGATAATCCAGATGTGAGCATCACTCCGGGCCCCGGGGGGCTCCGGGGGGCCCAGGGGGCCTCAGCCCAGCTCCCCCCGGGGGGCCCAGGGGGCCTCAGCCCAGCTCCCCCCGGGGGGTTCCGGGGGGCCCAGGGGGCCTCAGCCCAGCTCCTCCCGGGGGGCCCAGGGGGCCTCAGCCCAGCTCCTCCCGGGCCTTGCCCTGCTTCCGGGGCATCTTCTTGCTGCTGCTGTCCTCCAGCTCTTTGCTCTTGTAGTAGTGAGGCGCCACCTCCAGCAGCCAGCCGCTGTCGATCTCTATCACCTGTTGGCACAGCAAGAAGCCGATCAGAATTTGGGTTCTGATCCGAACTGACCCGGCTCTGACTTGAACCGAACCACTCCGTTCCTACAACCTGTCCCTCTGGTCTCCTGACGGTCCAAACTGCTCCTGAGCCATTATATTACAACCAGAACCTTCTGGTGGGTCAAACAGGCAGAATCCAAATGGATCTGAATATTAAAAAGCCCCTGAGTGTTTTGTTAAGATTCAAAAAACCTAACATGAAGTTTTACCTTCCACATAATTTTCCCTGACAAGCCAGTCATTACATACCTGTCTGTACAAAAGTCTCTTAAATGAAGTTATTCATTGAACAGTTTGAGATTTTGATGCAGCTTTGATGTTTTTATTTCCTCCATGTGAGGAGCTGGGAATCTGACCAGGAAAGAAACAACGTTTCATTCTGTGGTTATTTATAGTCATTCTTAACGAATGGAGACCGAAGGAAACGGGATCGGCTTGTTGCAGCTGGATCCTTTCTGCCATGTTTGGTTTTTCTCACATTCAGGTAAATAATCGCTGCAGGCAACAGTCAGCTCAAAGGTTCAAGTTGAACCCGTCTGTTATCTGTGGACGACATCTCTGGAGTCCAGGAGTGTTTCTCTCTGAGTGACTCAAAGGTCAGATCAGAGGAACGTGAGTAAAACAAAGGCCTTCAGGAAGCTATGGAGGATAACTGAACAGAGCTGATGAATGTGATGTCAGCGCGAGGCGACACGCTCCCTGCCCGCCGCCTTCAGGGTGTTGTTTACATTCCAAACATGCAGCAGCTGCTGTCACCTGTCTCATGAACTCCTTGGTGGTGAAGACCAGTTCGTGGTAGATGAGCCAGCGCGGCTGCTCCTCGAACAGCGAGCTGTTGGGATGGACGAACACCGTCTGCTGGTGCTTCACCGACCGGTAGCCGCCCTTACTGAGCCGCGCCGTGTGGTAGAAGTACCCGGCCGTCACCGCCTGCCGGGGGACACAGAGGCCGTGAGGGTCAAAGGTCATCAGACAGGGTCACAGAGGACGACATTCAACATGCGAGAGACATTCAGAGGTTCAGTTTGTGTTGCTGCTGCCCACAGGACACAACCAGAAGCAGCAGCTGAGTCATCATGAGAAACTGGTCCATCAAGTTCAATTCTAACTGCAGGATGAGAAAAACAACCAGCACATCCGGTCAAAGCAACAGATCCGCCATGTTGCTTTCCATTCAGCAACTTTTTCAAACATTCACACTGCTGGGAACTTGTTTCCTACTTAAATCTGAACTTTGACCCCTCTCTAAAGTTCATTTAAAAAAATCCCGTTTAAAGCAGAGATCTGTTTTCCTGAGTCACTGTTTCATGCAAAAGTATGCAAATGGCGCCCGAGTCCCGCCTGACGAGTCCCGCCTGACGAGTCCCGCCTGACGAGTCCCGCCTGACGAGTCCTTATCCTGCCATCTGTTGCCCTGGCGACGGGGCAGCTGCTGCTGTTGGCCATGTTATATAATCTGTGTGAACCACATCCAGGCTGTTGTTCCTTTTATGCTTTAAAATCTATCATAAAAGCAGACTAATATTCTAATTTTCACTTTGCTGAATCGGCCCTGACTCTATGGCAGCCTGCAGGCTGCAGCTGTTCCAAAAATATCCTAAACAAATCAAATCTGAACCCTGACCCCTCTCTAAAGGCTCCAGTCTGAATCCGAATCTCAGCTCCGCTGGTCCAACACACCCAGCACCGCCTCAGATAAGCTGCGGTGTCGGTTCCTCTGCTTGCTGGCAGCCTCAGCTCTCCTGGTTCTGCTCCACACAGCCGGGAAGTGAAACACGGATCAGAACTCCTAACAATGAATGATTCTAAAGAAAATTCCCTGTTGGACCCAGCGTGTCTCTGAGATTTGCCTCCCGAAGTCGTAGTTTTGTCTGTGAAAGAACCGACGCCTTCAGGCCTGAGCAGCTTCCAGGGATCAGGATTAGAAAAGGAGTTTATTCGTCTGGCGAAGCAACAGAAAACAGAAACAATGAAATGTTCTGATGTCATCACACACACTGTCACAGAAATCATTTAATAACTGTTTATGTTCCTGATGAATGTCTGATGAAGCTCAGTGAAGATCTGAGACAGAAAACTGCAAGCAGCAGCAGGTCAAAGGTCAATGAATCACGACACACATGTGGTTTTAACATCAGAGGGAGTTTGGTGTGATGTCTCCTGCTGCTCAGAGATCGGACCTGGTTTCCCTGTCGAGTCTTTGTGAAAGAAGCCAGGAAATCCGAGAGGATTTTTAGGAAAGTGAACCTTTTGTTTGGCAGATTTTATCTGGAGACGTCAGCGAGAAAACAAAACAGGACACGTTTTGTTCCTCTTTTCAGACGGCAGGGAAACGCTGTGGAAGGACGACCGCTCTGTGAGCAGGACTGACCTTACGGATGGGGACGTTGTCCCCGCTGCAGCTGACCACCTCCACCTCGATGCGCTCCATCAGACCCTCCAGCTGGTCCCGGACGTCCCGGGCTCGCCTCATGGAGCGGAACTGGATGAAGTTCTCGTAGCACCACTGGGTGGAGTAGCCGCTCTCCACCCACTGGGGACGAAGCAGAGCGGGACACAGCTTAGAGACAGAACCAACAGCTGTCCGGTCCACACGCCTGATCCTCTACCACAGAGACTTTAAACCAAACAGCTTTCATTCAGAGCAAAAGGATTGTTTTGAAGAACAGAATTTATGTTCATGGGGCTCTAACTGCATGCAGCTGCCTAAAAACAAATAGTCACTTTTACTGTTATAATGACAGCACCACAAAATACTGTGATGAACTGTGAGTCCATATTGTCAGTTCTTCAGAACTGCCCCGGCTGTGCCCAGTCTGGCCCGTTTGTTGAATGATTTGCATCTTGCAGTGAACGTTTGCTTTTTTCTCAGAGCTCGTCTGCAGAGCTGCTCCAGGTTCTGCTGGAGGTCACGGCGGATCAATGCGGATCACGCCGTTAACGAGCAGCGCCGCCCGCGTTACCTGTGTGTAGACGTTGAGCAGCACCAGGTGGTCTCCGCCCGGAACCACGAAGTTCATCCTGGCGTTGTCGGCGTGCACCACCTTGTCTTTGGGCCGGTAGAAGATGGAGTTGTTCACCGACAGCATGGCGGCGATGGTCAGCACTTCCTCTGAACACTTGTACCTGGAAACCATGGAAATGATGTTTATAATCGTGTCTGATTGAATTCTTCGTCATAGTGAGAAGTGAAGCTGTACCACTCACTGCTCTGAGGCCAGGATCATTTTACTCAGCATGGGATCCACCGGTAACTCGGCCATCCTGCGACCCAGCTGGAGCAGAACCAAAACAACCGGTTCAGTTCAGACAAACACTCCCTCAGTGATCAGTGATTAACGAGGCAAGCTGGCCGGGAAGCGCCGAGTCATCCCTCACTTTGAGCAAGTCAGTGACTCAGCAACACGTGACAAACATCAGGTGTAGAAATACGCAGAAGATCACAATGGATCTGGTTCACCCAAATCATAGAGCTGGAGAAAACAGATGAACCTGAACGCATCACCAACATCTGATGCCTTCAGGTTGAGAGTCACTCTGAGCCTCCTTTACTTGAATCATTTCTCCATAAATGTGTTTCCACAACCCTGCAGGCATACTTCTATTTATGATTACTGCATAGATAAGGTGATAAGGTTCCTTTTGGGAATAATGAAAATCTGACCTTCGACCTCTGTTTGGCCTCCAGGTATCAGTAACAAGATACTAAAAGCTGAAAAGCATTGATCCCGTGTCATTTCCTCCCATTCAGGGACTTTATCATCATGGAGCTACATGTTGACACCTGATGCAGAGACGCCGCCGTAGCACCTGGAGCTGCGGCGGCGCCCGGAGCTGCGGCGGCACCCGGAGCTGCGGCGGCGCCCGGAGCTGCTGCGGCACCCGGAGCTGCTGCGGCACCCGGAGCTGCGGCGGCGCCCAGAGCTGCTGCGGCACCCGGAGCTGCTGCGGCACCCGGAGCTGCGGCGGCACCCGGAGCTGCTGCGGCACCCGGAGCTGCGGCGGCGCCCAGAGCTGCTGCGGCACCCGGAGCTGCGGCGCCGTCCCTGCATCTTTACCCCGATTAGCTCGGGGCGCCACCACAGTCGTATTACAATGTTGTTTTGTATCGCAGGTTTAGAAGTAAATGCTGAGGTGAGTTTTTCTGGGACGGTGCCGTACGCAGCGCCACAAAGCAAGCTGGGATAAAACATGAACCTTGGTGAGCTCCCCCAGGTGGT